ACAGTGCCTCTGGATTGGCAGACCGGGGTGGTGGTCCCTCTGTTTAAGAAGGGGGACCGGAGGGTGTGTTCCAACTACAGAGGGATAGAGGGGTGCTTCAGGAGTATGGGGTGCGGGGCCCTCTGTTAAGGGCTGTCCGTTCCCTCTACGACCACAGCAAGAGTATGGTTCGCATTGCCGGTTATAAGTCAGACCTGTTCCCAGTGCGTGTTGGCCTCCGCCAGGGCTGCCCTTTGTCACCGGTTCTGTTCATTATTTTAATAGACAGAGTTTCTCGGCGCAGCCAGGGGGAGGAAGGGGTTCGGTTTGGGAACCACAGAATTTCATCTCTGCTGTTTGCAGATGATGTTGTTCTGTTGGCTTCATCAAACCAGGACCTTCAGCGTGCACTGGGGCGGTTTGCAGCCGAGTGTGGGGCGAGCAGGATGAGGATCAGCACCTCCAAATCCGAGGCCATGGTTCTCAACCGGAAAAAGGTGGCTTGCCCTCTCCGGGTCGGTGGAGACTCCTTGCCTCAAGTGGAGGAGTTCAAGTATCTCGGGGTCTTGTTCACGAGTAAGGGGCGGATGGAACGTGAGATTGACGGACGGATTGGTGCAGCATCTGCAGTATTGCGGTCGCTGTACCGGATCGTGGTGAAGAGAGAGCTGAGCAAGGCAGCAAAGCTCTCGATTTACCTGTCAATCTACGTCCCAACCCTCACCTATGGTCATGAGATCTGGGTAGTGACCGAAAGAACGAGATCGCGGATACAAGCGGCCGAAATGAGTTTCCTCCGCAGGGTGGCTGGGCGCTCCCTTAGAGATAGGGTGAGGAGCTCAGTCACGCGGGAGGCGCTCAGAGTAGAGCCGCTGCTCCTCCACATCGAAAGGAGCCAGTTGAGGTGGCTCGGGCATCTTTTCCGGATGCCTCCTGGACGCCTCCCTGGGGAGGTGTTCCAGGCGCGTCCCACCGGGAGGAGACCTCGGTGAAGACCCAGGACACGCTGGAGGGACTGTGTCTCCCAGTTGGCCTGGAACGCCTAGGGGTCCCCCCGGAAGAGCTAGGGGAGGTGTGTGCGGATTGGGAAGTCTGGGCGGCTTTGCTAAGGCTGCTGCCTCCGCGACCCGACTCCGGATAAGCGGGAGAAGATGGATGGATGGATGGATGGATCAGTCGAAGGAAGAAGAAGGAGAAGACCTCAAACAACCACCATTTTTGTCAAAACCATGTGTCGGAGAGAAAAGCCGAGCACATTTTCAGAAAGCCAAGACCTTGGGCATTAAAGAGATGTATTTTTTTATTTTCCTAGAGTAAACAATGAGCGCACAATCATTTGAGAAGAAAGGTGTAAATATCCAGTCCTTGAGAAAACTCAGCAGCCGTCTTTGAATGGGGGCAGATGGGGAAGGAAGAGAGACTTTTGGAGGAACAAGGCTCCAAAACCCCCCCAAACTTAATTCTTTGGGCTTCCAAAGTGACATTGTGAGCGGGAGGACAAATCTTCCTACGTATTGATGTAAAAATTATGTCTGTGGCATAAAAATTGTGGCCAGGGCGACAAGTTAAAAAAAGGACCACATACACACCCATTGTAAAGGCTGAAAAGGGGTGAAAAAGTTTAAAAACTTGAGAGGTTGTCATGATGAAACGGTTGAAGATAGGGAAAAAGTAGAAATGCTTTGAAATAGGGGAGAGGCGCGTCAACATTTTAAAGTTGAAATGGAGTCTCTAGGTGAAAGTATGCCTGAGCAGTGGAGGTTTGAAAAGTAGTGTAATTTTTTTGTGTTTTTTTCGTCCGTCCCATTCATTTTCAATGGGAGGTTTGTGCGACGTTTTTGCGAATTGTGTCGCGAAAAATGCGATTTTTGTAAATCTGTATGTAAGCACACTTGTCCCGATTGAGCCGCACGTTTTTCGATGTGTAATTTGTGTGGGTGCTCTCAAATCTGTGGGAGGAGTAGCCGACCGAAAATTTGTACGGAATAGTCGAAATAATAAGAAAAAGCGCACCAGGATAACAATACTCTGTACTCTGTACAAGCAGGGCCTCGTGCTCAGCCCGTGCCACTAATAAATGAAACCGTGAACAGAGGAGCAAGTTGTTGAAGATACATCCAGCATGGTCAAACATCTTTCTGCAGCTGATGAGCAGAGTAGAGAGAAAAACAGTTTATAGTGAAGTGTAATTAGTTAAATATCTATATTATGTCAAGCCCCTGGAAAATGTAAATTTTTTTTGTGTGTAAAATAAATAAATATAGCCCTCTAGCTTCGCTGTATCTCACAGAAGACATCTCTGAATTCTTTCCTTCTTCATGGTTCTGTTTCATAGAGGTTCAGGACTTTATATTGCAAAAACAAATGAGCCACAGTCAGTAAAAAAGTAACAGAGGCAAATAAAACACCCACAAACTGTGTGTAGTTCTAAGGGCTGATGGACAATCAGATCAACAAAGGAGGAAGAGAAGAAGAGTCGAGCACCACATCTCTTTTTCTTGTTAAGATTTTATTATGCTTAAAAAAGAAAATTAAAAGACAGAGGAGGTGGTGATCAAAGAAAAAGAAAAAATATATATTCATATTCAAATATCTTTATACTTTTCTATTCATATATGATTAACAATGCAAAGAAAATAATTCCCGTAGTAGTAGTGCTTAAGTAAAGTTCAATATAGACTTTATTATAACAAAATAGGCAGTTTACCGAGGGTTAAATATCTGTCAAAATCTCATTGTACAATAATCGTCTGCGAGTTTCGGACACACCTGTGGACACCTGGAGGTGGCAGCTCGTCTCCAGGTTCAGCAAATCACATGATCGACATCGTTTTCGTGGTAAGACACTGACGACGCTGACGGATGTCGCCGAAACGAGCTGCAGGGTTCGAGCTTGCGTCGCAGAGGGCTCTAGTTTGTATGACTCGACTCCAAGGAGAAAGAGGAAAAGTCTCTTAACAGAAAGACTGTCTGGAAATGTTTCAAACCTTCAGTTGACCCACTTTTACTGTGAAAAATCTGCTCATTTCCTGAAATTGATGAAAAAAATCTAACATTGCAGAAAATCGTAACTTTAAATCCCATAATTAGGTGATTTTTTTTTTGTAAGTGACATAATATTCTTGTAAATCAGAGATAAATTTTGGTAAATTAATTTTCTTGACAGATTTCTACTCTTCTCATAATAATTCTCTAGTAATTATAAAACATTTTATCATCTTTTTAAAATACATTTGTCATAACCTTAAGTCTGTTGCAGTTATGCGATAATTTACTTGTAATAAAATATTTTTCTTGTAACAAAATAATTCTCACAATGAAGTTTTCCTGAAATTATATGTTTTTTAGAGCTGAAAGTATCAGAATATTTATGTACTTATGAAACACCTTGCTGATTTAACAACAGATTCCTGCAATAAGATGACCTCTGATCTGAGTTTTCTAATTTTCTTGCAAATTTTTTGCAAAATTAAGTTCAGAGCTCCGTATAAATCAGATTTGTTTTGTTCCCCTTGAATCTGGGTTTTTTCTTAATGGTTCGATTCAGATCTTGTAATTATGGGAAAGTTTTTTCTTCAAATTCTGAAACGCTTTTCTTGCATTTTAAAAATAGATTTCAAAACTTATGAGATGAGCCTCCTGTGGTTATAAAATAATTTACTTTTAATAAAATAATTTTATTGTAAAAAATAATTCTCATAAGATGATGATGTTTACTTTAGATTTAAAATTTTTATAAATTAATCTGTAAGAATATTTGCATATTTGATGTATTTTCTTGATATAATTATCTGGTAACAAAATTATTTTCTTATAGTTTAAAGACAGTGAGATGAGTATTATTGCAATAATAGAATAATTTTAGTGAAGTAATTTGTTTCTTCTAATTATGAGATACTGGTTTTGTTGCTTTGGTGATGACATTTTTTTTAAAAACATAAACTGGAAACAGGCAGAAATATTCTTTCTGCAGAGTCAATTTTTTTCACTTGTTTCAGAGGAAATAAAGTTTTCAGGGTCAGTTTGTGTGAAATGAGTTAAAGAATGCAGCTCGTCAGTAGAATAACTAATGTTGAGACTTTATTGATCCTTTTTCATTAATCATTAATTGGAAGTCGAGGTCGAAATGTGTAAAGTAAAATCACGAAACTTAGAATTCATTAACTGAAAGAGACAGTTTTTACTCATCTGTCTTTTTCTTTTTAGTTTTTAATGATTTCATCCCAATGATCTGATTATACGTCATTAAATAAAATGTGTTGAGCAGTGCCCTCTATGTGGCTGAGCAGGACCTGCAGCGTCCCGACGAACATCCAGCAGCAGTGAGGAGCAAAAAAAAATCGACTAATCATGAATCAAGTTAAAAAAAAAAAAGAGAGAAAATGCTAAAATGAGCAGAACAGAAGAAAACAGCTGTGACATTGGAGGTGAAGGGGCTGATGAGAAATAAACGGGGATTAAACTGACATGCTGTTAAAGCTCAAACGTGCAAAGTTTTGCTTTTTGTGTCTCCGTTTTCTCCAAACCGACAGATGCTGCCTGAGACTGAAACTCCGTGCGCCTGCTGACTTACAAGACAAAAAATGGGGGAAGAAAACCCACAAACAAAAAAAACCCCAACAAAAACATAAGATGAAATCTGCTTCGTACGTTCCTTCTTAAGTTCTCCTCCCTTAAACATTAAGGAGCTGTTGTACCGTGTCGAACCTCCTGTGTGCTTTAAACCCATCGACAAGTCTGAGTCAGGCGGAAAAACACCAAAAAAACGACGATCCGTCAGCTGATCGTGGGAGTGAAGGGAGGCGGGGGGGAGGCAGGTCGACTCTCAGAATAAAACAAAGAGGATTAAGGAAGAGGAAGAGGACGGGCCCATCTTCATAACTTCTCCTTGGACTGAACCCAGATGAACGGACCCGACTGCTCCTCGATGATCTGCTTCACCTGATCGTAGATTTCCTCCAGAGTGTCGCCCTGCACGATGGCTGCACACAAACAGACACACAATAAAACCACAGCTTCATCTGGACACAAACACACAAACTGAACGAATCCACACAAGAACCGAGTCCCAAATATCGACTCTGGTTTAGTCATTGTATGTAACCAGGCAGCAAGACAAAATATGTCCAAAAGATGAAAGTGTAACAGTCCATGTCCAGTCGTCCTCAAATGTATTCATACCCTTCCATTAAAGAAAAGGCAAAATTCACAATCATCATTCAAACAACCAGAAACTGAAAAAAGTAATAATAAATAAAAATTTGCTAAATGATAATTTAGTGAAATAAGACATTGCTTTTGAAAAATGGTTGAAAAGAACAATTTAAAAAACAAACGAAACTGTCCCGGACAAATTAGCGCACTTTGCTGATGAGCAGTGGGCCAAAATCAAAACACCTGTCAACAGGTGCAGAAGTCTGATTGAGAGTTACAGAAAACACTTGATTGCCCCAAAGGGTTGTTCAACAAAATATTAGTTTACGGGTCCCATCATGCTTGTTTGCCTGTTTTGTTTTTTTTTTAAATATATATTTTTGTTGAACTACAATTCAAAAGCAATGTCATGATTTTCATTAAATTTTTATTTATTATTACTTCTGTAAATTTCAACTTATTTCAGTGACAGATGTTTTTTTCCTTCTTTAATGGGAGAGTATAAACAAATTTGAGGACAACTGTACCTGACCTAACTGACCAGAACCAAGCAGAACTCACCTGTGAAGTGTTCGGTGAACTCCTGCTCCAGCTTGGTCGCTCGGTCGAAGGTTTTCCTGCCCTGCTCCTCCGTCAGACGTTTGTTCATCTCCCTGCAGGAAGAGAAATGTCAGTTTGTAATGCCTCAAACCTCCTGCTTCAGGTTAGAAGAAGTGAAAACCAGGGACTCACATGATGTTCTCCACAGATTTGGGTTTGATGAAGATGGCGATGGGGTGAAGCTGAGCCAGCTGGAGCCTCTTGATGGCGTTTCCTGATACGTCCAGGATACAGTGTTTCCCCTGAACACCACCGAAGAACAACAAAGACAACAACCATTTACCAACAGTGTCTGTATGAGAAAACTAAATCTAGTTGTAGTTAATTCCTGGACAGGAGCTTTAAAGGAAAAAGACAAAACAACAACAAACATTTAGTGAAGCTCAGAGATGCCACAGTGTGAACCTGAGACTTCTAAAGTCCATTTTAGGAAGTTTTGATACCACTGTGATTAGATTTAATATTGTTTAAGACCACCTTGAACACATTTGAGTTTAGGGAAACTGGAGACGTAAGATTTTTTTTAATCCACTTTGATGAAAGTAAGACTTTTTAAGACAACTTTGATGACATTTGAATAAGTCCACTTTAATGAAATATAAGTCTTTCTAATTTTATTTCGATGAAATTTAAGTCTTTCTAAAACCACTTTGAAGAATTTCAAAACTTGGTAAGACCAGTTTGAGTCGAATTTGATCAAATCCAACCCTTTTAAAGCACACTGATGAAATTTCAGACTTTTTAAGTCCACTTTAATAAAGTTTAGGTCTCTTTAGTTCCATTTTAATGAAAAATAATACTTTTTAGGTCCACTTTGATAAAATTGACACTTTATAAGACAACTTTCATGAAAAATAAGGTTTTTAAGTCCACTTTGATGATATTTGAGACCTCACTTTTAAAATCTACACATTGCAGCCTTGGCATCAGAGCAGATTTCAGTGTAACACTGCAGATCCCTGGTCTCTACCTTCTCAGCCACCTCTCGGACTGACTGAACGCTGGTTCCGTACAGGTGGTTGTTGTATTGACCCGCCTCGATGAACTTGTGGTCCTGGATGTCTTTTTCCATCTGTTCTCTGGAAACCACGAAGTGATAGTCTCTTCCATCCACCTCGTAGTCCCGCTTTGGTCGAGTCGTATCTGATGGAGGGAATGAGAAGATATAAAACTGATGCAACAGGATTCACTTTCACTTTAAACAGAAGAACGTCCTGAAGATACAAACTAACTGACAGATGTTTAACAGGCTTACGTGGGACGCAGGATCCAAATTTGTCGGGGAACTCTGAGATCAGGTCGTCGTTGATTCGATCCTTCATGGGGCCGAGAATGATGACGGGACGAGTGTAGTTCACTGTCAGAGAGAAACATCAGAGCTCAACGTCGACACAAAAACCTGCTTTACATCTTCTGTCATCAAATCCTCTAGAACTTCTGGAGCACAGTTATCTTGGTATCTGGTTGGATCCAAAACTTAGTTTTAAAACTCACACTGAAGCACTTGTTACCAAGTTATGACAAAAAATGTGCATTTGTAAAGAAACAAAACAAATTTTCTTCAGTAGAAAGAGAATAACTGATGCTGCCTTCTCTATCTGTGATAAATCATGGTGATGTGATGAACAGCAAGACGCCACCAAACATGAAAAACAACATAATTATTATTGTATTGTAATCTACGGAAGCTGAGAGCGGTCGTTTTCCGCTACTGTTCTTTCTTCGCCGTTTTCTCGAGATAACGAGTTAATTTTCTCGGCTTCCGTAGTAATCAAATATATCTTGGTTATTTTTTTGCTTTGTTTTTTTTAAATGACAGAGTTTTATTCTATTGAAATCTTTCTAGTGTGTTTAGGTTCATTTTGTCGACCCCGATTTTAGGTATAAGGTTTCTTTTGAAGTGACAGTCGAAACATGTCAAGGTAAAAACAGCTCCTATCTAAAAAATACTCATTGTCTGACAAAAAAGAAACCTCATACCTGAAATCTTTCTATTTGTCAGGGTGTCTTAAGTCAGAACATTCATTTGTCTTTGGTCTAAACTGAACTTATTCACTTCATTTAATTGACTTGACTCTTTTTTATTGTCTACTTCATCTTCAAAGGCTTTTGTTTTTCTCATTTTACGTTATTTACTGTTGAAGACTGCAGCTCGACTGCTGTGTTAAATTTTTTAATGAAAAAATATTTTCTTGAGGTTGAATTTTTCTTCAGTAACTTTGTGTTTATTTTATCTGTTCTTATTCTGAATGTAAATTAGGTGTCAGTGATTAAAAACAGTTTAATCTGGAGAAACGTCCTCTATATTTTATTCTTATTTTATTAAACATTTATTCACTTAATTTTAATGTACTTCCTGTCTGGTTTATTGTCAACTTCATCTTCTAAATGCTTTTTTCATATTTTGTCTTTTCCTGCTGTTTTAATCTATCAGCTTTACCTATTCTATAAACTCCCAGTGCACTTTATTCAACTTGTCTGTACTGGTTTTGATTTATTCAGAGTTTGTATTTATTCTGCTGTATTTGGCATTTTATCTTTTGCATGTTTTATTCTAATACATTTTATTCTTCCTTTGCTTGTATGTGTGATGAGGTGCTATAGAAATAAACTGATGTTACCAGTGAAATTTAAATTTACAGCAAACATTTTAGATATATCTGTCAGTTTTAAATATATCTAAATATATATCTTTATAAAGCTGTATGCAATAAATAGCATGAAATAAAAGCTAAAACCAGCCAGTTTTTTTTCTTTTTACTAACTTTTTGAGGAAACTGCACATTTGAACAAGTTCTGCAGAAACACTCAGTAAATTCTAAATATTTTGAAGTGTTTTCTCACCTTCCTGCTGGACGACAGGTTCGTAGGACAGAACGTATTCCTCCTGCCCACCTGAAAACATAAGATGCTCACATTAACAATCAGCAGCGAAAACCAGAGTTTAACTGAAGGAGGATGAAGGTCGAGAAGAGGAAAAGGAGGGATGAGATGAGAGATTCATGTTAGTTTGAAGGTAGTTTCTGTCTGAACTGATGGTTCACTGTGAGTCTTCTAAGATTTAATGAAAGAGTGTTCAGATACAAGAAACTAAATATGGGTTCGAGCAAAAAGTTCATATGAATCTGGATTTCAGTAAATCTGCAGCAATTTTCTTTATGACTCAGGAAAGCTGCACAACTTTTAACAGTCAAAGATGACATCAGTCCTGCTTTGGAGTGAGCTGAAGGTTTCAATGATCTGCTCACTGACTGTCCAAGTAGTGTTTTAAGAAAAATGGGAAATGACTTGAAACTTGTTGAAAATAATTCAAAAAGCTTTCATATGTTTAAAATATTTTGGTCCATAAAGAAAAACCTCAGAAGGGCAAAATTTAGAACTGTATTACTTAAATTCTGTTAACTGTCTTTGACAATCTGACATAATGTATATGTATGGTGGAACATGTGACAGAGAAAAGCTCTTTTGAATAAATAAAGAATTAAAAAAAAAAAAAAAAAGCTTTCATAATGTCTAGAACCTGTGCAGCAAAATGATTGTAAACTGTCAAAAATGACTCAAAACAAATCCAAAATGAATTGAAACTTGTTCAAAAGGCTTTCAAATGTGTTTAAATGTCAAAAATGTGTCCATAATGACTCAGTGTGTCAAACAGGACTTAGGACATTCAAACTGGGTTCACAATGTAAAGAACTTGTCCAACATGATTTCAACTTGTCCAAAATCCCTCAAAATTTGCCAAAAATAACTTGAAACGTATCCAATGTGGCTGTAAAACTCAAAATGTAACGAAAATGATTCAGAAATTGCCTAAAAATGACTTGAAACATGTTCAAACGGATAAGAACGTGTCCATCATGATTGAAACTCACTATAGATGATTGAAAAATTGTCCGAACATACAAAAACATTTTCTCAATGAGTCAAAATTTTCAAAACTGCTTTTGAACAAAAACTGAAAAATGTTTTGTGATTCGAAAATTCAACATTTTTACCTGTAAAGAGTTTAATTCTTAAAATGAACTAAAATAAAAGACAAATATTCTACCTTGTAGCTGGTAAATGCTTTCATGTTTTAGATTTTTTTTGTATTTTGTGCAGCTTGTTTCCTCAGATTTGAACTAAATGAACAGATAACTCAATAATCTGCAAAATAAATGTTAAATGAATGTTAAATCTTCACTTCATCTCACATGTCATCTGTTTGGGAGCTTAAACGCCTGCAGGTTTTCATGCTGCATTAAGGAACGTTAGCAGGTTAAGTGTGCGTGTGAAGTCATGCTGTTATCGGCCAAACAGCAGCCTGTGCTCGTTATGACATTGGCTAGCGGTTAGCGTCACGCTGATCGAAGGAGGCGGAGTCACACTTACGGTAGCTACTCTCACTATCGCTGGCGTTAGACGTCACATGTTCTGGAAACACAACAAACACAACACATTTGATCAGCTGGTGGCTTCCCATGATGCTTTGCTCTGATTGAGTCCAACAGCACCAACACAAATCCTCTCCAGGAACTTTCAGTTCAAACATCAAGTCAAAGTAAAAACTTAGATTTGTGTTTCCCGAACTTCAGGAACCAAAAATTCGCTGTAATCACTGTTATTTCATATCTAATCAGATCGATGTGGTTAAATCACCTCTGTGATCATTTAAAGAACATTTTTGTGATTTTCTTCATCTTTAATGATCAACAATGTGTGGATTATTTGTCACATTGTTGCTCCTTAAAATCATGATGCAAATGTTTCACAACTTTACAGTCCAAACAATTAATCACTTAATCAATTTAAATAAATAAATAAATAACTTGATTAACAAGATAAAAATATCTTTATCTTTCCCATTAATGGTTCTGTTGTGTCTCTATGCGTTATGCTGACTTTGTTCAATATTACTAAAACAGCTGTCCAAAATAACTCAAACACTGTCTAAAATGCCAAATCGTGCATTCAAAATTACTTGAAACACATTAAGGTGACAAAAGTGTCCAACACCATTTAGAAATAACTCAAATAGTGTTTAAAATCACAAAAAATATCCACATGACTCAAACCGCATCCAAAATTTCCCTAAATTTGTCCAAAATTACAAAAGAAAAATCCTCAAAACTTGTAATTAGGATTGTAATGTGGCTAGAATCCTTAATTAAACATTTTAATTTATAAAATAAATTAGGAAAAATGTGAAAAAAAAAAAAAGTTCCCTAAAATGCAAATATTTCCTTTTACATGCAGCCAGCTTCTTTGTATTGTGCAGCATTGATATACAAACATCTGCAGAAATTCACAAATCAAACCCTGAACAAAATGCACATTTTAACAACAGCTGCACATTATTATCTTCAGGTCTGGAAATATTCTGAATTTTGTGCAACAACACAGAACTAACCCTAACCCTACAAAAAAGTCAAATTTCAAATATATGTTTGCAGACTTTACTGATAAATTGTAGTGGTCGTAAACTTGTGTTTTTCTTCATTTGTTTATCACTATAATTAAGGTATTTGTTAAAGCTTTAAGTAAATTCAGATACTTGATGCAAAAACCTGAATAAAACTAAACACTGATGGATCCTCTGAGCCGAGAAGCAACAAGTTTGACCAGAAAATGGCAGAAGAAAACGTAAAAACAAAGAAATGAGAATGAAAACTGAAGACTGTGGTGACAGAGCTCCAGTCTGAAGGGTCTGTGGTGAGGAAGAGGAGGAAGAGGAAGACTTAGTTTCCACCAGAACCAACATCAGCATCAGCTTTTACTCTGAAACAACAGCAGGTTTGTGCCATTTAACATTTTCTTTATTGTTTTTGAATAAATATTCCGTAATAGAGAATATTTCTAATTATATTAACTAATGACAGTCCTATATTAAAGACGTACTTCTGTTTTTCACTATGCTGATGTATCTTTAACAACTTGCTCCTCTGTTCACTGTTTCTGAGCCATGCTGCATGGAGTTGTGTTAATAATACAATGTAACTGTGTTATATCTTCATCTAGAGCTAGTGATGTTTTTACCAACATGAAGTTGACTTCTTATTTACAAAAGGACTAAGCCAATATTGATTTTTTACATTCATTTTCACTTGTTAACGAAAAAATTTTGGGCCTAAGTTAATGAATTTTAGTATTTATAAGACAAAGACTCCTGACACCATCTGACTGATGAAGGTCGAGCACCAAAACAGTGCAAATAAATGCATTTATAAAAGTTAGAAAGTTAAAGCTGAAACTTTCTCAAAGCATTCTTTAAGTTTTACATAACCTGTTGTGTTTTTCTTCTGTCTTTCTTCTGTTAAAATGCTAAGCCAAGAAGCCTTACTGAATATTTCTTGGTTCAAACTGAGGTGGCTGAGGAAGGTGGCTGGTGGAGACCAAGAGGCTGATTGGAGTTTTTGAGGAGGGGAGTCAGGTTTGGAGGGAAACTTACTGTGGCCTTTGGATAGAACGTCATCGCTGTTTTCCTGCAGCGAGTGAACAACGAGGAGAAACAACCATAGAAACACAAAGTTACTGAGTTAGAGCGACAGACAGAGAGAGCAGACGGAACGCAGCCGGTCGCAGGGCTGCAGGGTGGCCATGTTGGCTAGGAGAAGGAGCCGACAGGGTGACTATGTTGGCTAGAAAAGGAGCCAGTTTCATGCGGGTCAGGCTACCTTCACTGCCTCAACAATTTCAGTTTTTAACCCAGTTATGGGTGAAACAGATCGACCCATTCCAACCCCGTTACCCTGACAACCAGTGAGTTCACAGCACGCCGCCGCCAGCTGATCTCTCTTCCTGCTGCCAGTCACATGACCCTCGGACAGACTGCCCCCCCCCGCGCGTCGCGCTGGTACTTACGGTCGACGTCGCTGGTCTCCTGCTCGCTCGCCTCTTTGCTCTTGTAGAATGGAAACTTTCGGGAAAAGAGGTTCTTTTTACGCTTGTCATTGAGAGACTGCTGAGGAGGAAGAGGAGGAGCAGGGGTGATGGAGTAAAAAAAAAAGAGGAGGAAGAAGGGGAGATGAGGGGATCTGATGACGCTTCGGACAGAGTAAGGAACTTCGTGTCCGAGTCTGTGGCTGACAGTGCAAACACCTAAATCAACCAGAAGAATTAGACACTAAAAGTCAAGAAGATAAAAGGTTTGAACAACTACAGCAGCTGATTTTGTAAAAAAAAAAAAAAACCTGCTCTAAACCCTCTGAATTCCAAGCGGTTTTGGGGGGGGGTTTTCTGCTCCTGTCATAATTTTTACTGTTCAATTAATTTCCCTCCTTGTAGAAACGCAGCCTGCAGTTCATCTGAAAACTCTCTGAATTTTTGTAATGTGACTGTTGGTCACAGCTAAATTATTATTAGCTTCACAGTTGCGCCAGGAAGCACAAAAATTTTATTTATTTTTTACACAATCTGGTCCAAGGAAATTGTATATTTTTGGCATTTTTTAAAATTAACATATGTAGACTAAATTGATTTGACAGTGACATTTCATGATTTTCAATTTAGATTTGGTTCTGATGGAACAGCACATCACAGGTGATACATTCAAGAAGCTTCAGAAAGTTGAAAATTCAACATTTTACAGTTTCTGGCTATGATTTTGCAGATTTTCTTTAGCGATAACCTGCCTTTCAAACCTGTTAGCTGTGATAAAGCTTTACAAAATCTCATGGAAATATTGGGTTTAATAAGCTAAAAAAAAAAAGCTGGGGCTTCAACTAACAATTATATTTATTATCAAAAGAAGAAAAGTTTTTTGTTTTTTTTACAGGAATTGTCTATTTTTGCTGAATATTTAAAAGTTGTATGGTTAAAAAAGGGGTTTTGATAATATATTACAATTTTAAATTGGCCAATGTGCATCACAGACAAGTGGCTTAAAGTGGCTTAAAATCTGAAGATTGAGTCTGTTTCTTCAGTTTCTGGCTGATAAATGGTGCCATTTTGGTGACTTTTTAAAAAGACGACACACCTTTCAAGCCGGAGCTCAAAGGGTTAAATCATAACCTTCAAAGACTGAAGATTTAAGAAAAATATACGAACACCAAAATTGCCTTAAATGTTCAGTGATCAGATTTCAGATCTCCTGATCATTCAGAGGTACAAAGTCACACAGACTTCAAAAATACAAATATGAATGTTGTAACAAGAAAGAATGTTGGTATTGTTGCAGATAAATATATTAAGTTGTACTACTGCAGAGGGTCTCTACACATATTAACTTTAATCAACACACTGCAGTTTGTTAAAGCTACTTTCTACTAACTTTGGCCTCTGCATCAAAAAATAAAGACTAACTAAATGAAATACACAGTTTTTTGTTAAGAGTAAATCTTCTGTTGTGCTTCCGTCCACCGAGGCTCGTCTACACCACAGAATCAGATGTTTGACTATCATCACCTGTAGACTGAACCTAGAGATGCTGTCAGTGTTTCAGATGCTGTTTTTTCCACATAGACAGTGAAGGCAGCAGCAGGATGAGGAGGAATTTAACATGCTGAAGACATGCAGAGGCAAAGCAGCTACAAGCTGAGAGAAGCTCAAAACTCTGGTTCTGTCAGTAACTCTCTACAACTCCAATTAGTTCCTAAGCATTTCTTTGCTCCAGTCTCATTTTTCCTCACTGTGGCTCATTTTTTACTGCAGTATGAAGTCTTGCACCTTAATGGAAACAGAACAACCACGAAGGAGGAGAGAGAACTCAGAAATGTCTTCTATACAATATGACAATTCTGATTCTTTTCCTGACTCCGAGGCACCCAACATTGAGAAAAAGTTTAACATCTTTGATTATTTGTACAAAACCAAAACTGGTGGCTAAGAGGGTCTGAGGAGCTGCAGAATTGGCGACTTGTTTGACATGTAAACAAACTGTACTGAAGGCGTTGGCCTCTAGACAGCAGGGGCCCAGAGCTCTGGCCAAGAGTCATTAAGCATCACAGGGGACGTCCTCATGGTAACCCTCTGCTACCTGAACTCCTGTTCTCTGCTTGTCAACACAGAACTTGCTGCCTCCTCTGGTCACTACAGGATTAAACAGTAAGAAGCTCCACCTGGTGGAAAAACCAGGTACTACTACTGATCTACAATATATTTTCTGAAATTCGTTAATCCATTATCTACTATATGTATTTATCCTCACTAGGCGACTCAGGGCGAAGGCAGGGGACACCCTGGACAGGTCACCAGTCTATTGCAGGGCTACACTTTGAGACAGACAACCTAGCACACTTACATTCACACCTACGGACAATTTAGAATCACCAATTAACCTCAACATGTGTTTGGACTGTGGGACAAAGTCGGAGAACCCGGAGAGAACACACGCCGTACAGGGAGAACATGCAAACATGCAGAAAGATCCCAGGCAAACCGGGGATCTTCCAGCTGCGAGGCCACGGTGCTAACCAACGAGCAGCCCAACATTTTCTGACATGAATGTCCTTAATTCTTCTGCCATATAGGTTAAAAATACTTTTAATCAATTAAATTACTGAAGGCAATTTAGCAATTAACAATAAACCCATAACATCCCATACTGCAACTAACTGTTATTTTCACTGTAGAATAATCTGTTGATAATTTTCTCAATAATTCATCTTCAAATGTCGTATTTTGTCACTTTTCTTAGAAATTAAAAAATGCCACACTTTAACTAAATATCAGAACAGTCAAAGACTAGAGTTTCTCAAGTTCTCAAGAGAATTTTTACATCTTTGTCTAAATTCAGTTTTTTTTCAAGACTTCTGACATTTTGGAATTCTGACTTTGAACTCAGAAATTTACTTTACTTTTTACTTTACTTTAAATGCAGAATCCTGAGATTAAAATCAGACTTGTGACTTGTTTTCTGACAATTCTGAAATAATGAAAATTAGAGTTAGTTTAGATTTCTATAACTGAACTCATAAAATGTATGAATTAAATAATCATTTAATTCTAATATTAAACTTAATTGTATCACTTGATATTTGTTATGTTATGACATGTAAAACATTGTGAGAATCCAGAGGGTAAAGCTTTTACTGAAGAGGATTAGGGACACTGTAAAAAATTTGAATTTTGATCTTTTGAACTTCTTTATTATTTCTTTTTGAATTCGGAAATTAAAGTTAAAATTACGATTTTAAGCAATTTAGGAATAAACTCCAAAAGTTCTGAATTAATTCTGAGATTAATAATTAGTAATTTTAATTCAAAGTCAGATTAAACATTAAACAAAATCAGTGAATTTCTGGGATTAAACACACAATCCTGACTTTTTCTTCTTCTTCTGAGGATTCTGACTTCTTTTCTCAAAATCTGGATCTAAATTTGGACTTTAAAACGCAGAATTCTGACTTCTTTGTAAGACAATTCTAACTTAAACTTCTGAATTCTAAGAACATTGGATTAAAACTTAAAAAAATCTGCTACCTTCTGGGGTTGAACTCAGAATTCTGACCTTTTTCTTCCTCAAAGTCCTAACTATTTTTCTTAGAAATTTGAGTACAATTCTATTATTCTTACTGTATACACACAATTCTGAGAAAAAACCTGGAATTTGACTTTTTTGTGAGGCAATCCTGGCTTTCCCCCACAGCATTCTGACTTTAAACACTAATTCAATAGTTGATTATTAAGGCTTACTGTTTGATAATATTGTAAAAACAGATTTAAATAGGCTCACAACTTTTTGTTTGAACTCAACAAAAAGCTGTTTGGGTGTGAACATCTTCAAGCCTGTATCTTAAGTATTAACTTGTGACAGCATCAGATCGCATGCTGCACTTTTTTATCCAGCAGAGAGAGGTGAGTGGTGAGGAAGAGGAGGAAGAGGAGGAAGGCTTGTGTGAGCAGCAGATGTCAATGTCAAGCGTTTGACTATGTATGAGGAAGGGGGATTCATGCATGTCGTTTTCTGTTTCCGTCAGTCTGCGGTGTTAGATTTGGGCTGGAGGCGTTGTCGTGGTGACGTGTGTTAAAGCGACACACGGTTTAAAGATGCTGGGAGGCGCTGCTGAGGTTTGGTAAAGAAGAAAACGTCGCAATCGAGTTCAACAACAACGACGACAACAACATGCTGTTAACTGGCAGCTGGTTTAAACATTAGTCAAACATTAGTAGGTAGAGATCAGGTGGCTGCGGCGCAAACACACACTTTAAAACACACATTTATAATAAAACACAAGGAGAATCTCTGACCTTTAAGTAAAATTGTGCAAAAAATCAAACCAGGTACAACTAAAGCTTAAATACAATCACTGTAGCTCGACAGAGTTTCCTCAACCCTCTGGAGTTCATGTTGTTTAAAGCACTTCTTATGTTTCAGTTTATTGATTAAAAAATGTATAATAATGTAATGTATAAAGCTGCCAGGAGCCCAAAAATCTTCTGTAATAATCACTCCAAATAAAAAATATTGTTTTAGTGCTAAAACACACAAATACAGCAGAAAAAAATGATAATTAAAGCTGTTTAGGTGTAAGTAATTTTCTCACAACTTGTTTTAGTGCATTTTTTCAGTATTTCCTTGCAACTATATTCAAATATTTACAATTCAAAAGCTTTACAAGATAAAAAATGTAAAGTTTTTATAGGTACAACATTGTGAGAAGCTAGAGAGTTCAGATTTTAAGGAAGAGGATTAGGACCAATGTAAAAAAACTAATTTTGACTATTATTTTTATTCAAGAATACTGACATCAAAGTCAGAATTCTGAAGCTAAATGCAAAATTTTTGAGCAAATTCGTAGTTAATTCTGAGATGAAACTTGGAAGTTTTTTTTCTCAGAATTCTGACTTTAAATGCAGAGTTTTGAGACTAAATTTTAACAATTCACAGTAAATTCTGGGATTAAACGCAGAATTTTGACTGTTCTGACTCAAAATTTAGATTTTGTTACATTTTGTCTTAATTGCAGAATTCTGAGATCAAACTCAGAATCTTACTTTTGTTATGGGATAACTCTGAGCTTAGAGTTCTAAATGCGGACTTAATTCAGACTTCAAACTCAGAATCTGGATTTTAAACTCAGAATTCTGAGATTAAACTCAGAAAATACAAAGTTAATTCTGACTTTATACTCAGAAGTCTGACATTAAACTTGAAAACTTGGCAGTAATGTTATGCTGTGACTGCTTCTGTCTGGTTTTACTGTAGCTGAGCAGAAGTCAACACTCACCCCTCTGTCTCGAGACTTGGCGTTGAATTTCACCGTCTTTAATCTCGCTCTTTCCTTCTTCTCAACTCTATGCTCAAAGAGGACAAAGGGTCAAATGTCAGCACAGATCATTCAGTCCAACAGGGTCTGATCAGAGGCTGCTGAACAAACCTGATTTCATGGTTCACTGTTTTGATTGTAGAGTGACAGGACGATATATTGGCTGAGATTTTCTATCCTCAGATACCTGAGTATATGTCAGTCCTTTCTAAACAAATCTATAGGATCCATAAAAAAAATTATCTTTGTATATGTATGTGTGTGTTCTTTTAAAAAGATCACTGCGTAACAAGATTCTTTTTGCTCAGGTGACTCTTGCTAGTCAGCACCAAAACTATTTGTTGAGTAAACTAAGAAATAATATATTGCTAATCCTCTGAAATCCAAAACCTAATATATTTAAAGATTTTTATTTTTTTTTAAATCACCAAAACTCCAGAAACTGCTGAGGATTGTTTTTCAACTTTCCGAATGTCTGCTGCCGTGTTGCTCCATCAAAATATAAAACTAAATCTACGCTTATAATTGTGATATTTTATCAAAATCACTTAATTCTACATGCCATTTCCTCAAAAAAAAAAAAAAAAAATCTACACTAGATTGTGTAAAAAATTCTCATTCAGAGACTCCAGTGATTTTCTCTCTACTCTGCTCATCAGCTGTAGAAAGATGTTTGACCATGCTGAATGTATCATCCAACAACTTTGACCTCTGTTGACTGTTTTCCATACTCTCAGCCTAAAATTGCCCAAATTGATTCAAAATTTGTTCAAAGTAACAAAAAATAACTGAAGAATTTGCCAGAGTAACTCTAAACTGTCCAAAATTACTTCAAAGTAGTATAAACTGACATTTTCTTTACGTCATTACGGACAATTTGAGACACTTTAGACAAAGTTTAGTTCAGTATTGGGTTTCTGCATATCAATTCTCGAAAGCTGTTCCACCATGCTGAATGTATCTTCCGAGAACTTGTTCCTCTGTTCACTCTTTTGGAGACATGCTAGATTTATTCTATTGATCCAGTATGTTTGCTTTTCCTCTATGCTCTGTGGAGACACTGCCTGCAGTTCAACTGAAAACACTTAGCTTTTTACAGAATCTAATGCAAACACTTTATCTTTAGAGAGCTTTTAATTGAGCCATGCAGAATAAAGTGATTTGATGAAATATTATGATTTTAAGCTATAATTTGGTTTATTTTTGGAAGTAATGGAACATTACACATGCTTAGTTCAAGGGTTGCTGTTTTTACAGTTTCTGGCTGATAAATGGAGTCGCTTTGGTGATTGTAAAGGATAACTTTCAAAACTTGAATGAACATGTAATTGGACTGAACTTTTGCTGCATCTGTTTGGGTCACGAACTCTGCATTTGACTGACCGTCTCTTGCTGGGGATGACCCCGACCTCCTCTACCTCGCCCTGAGCCGTCAGCTGCCTGGCCTGCCACCACTCGTCATCGGAGGCATTCACCACATGGAGGATGTCTCCGAACTTGAAGTTGAGGCCCTGACTGGGCAGACCGGAGTCTCTGGTCTTATCGTAGTCGAACAGAGCTCTAAAACCCACATGACAAATAAATAGATTTAAATAGACATACACAAACTTTTTCCTCATATCTAACAGAGCACTGCAACACAAAAGAAGGATTTAATGAATTAAAAAAATGTACACAAACTTCGTATCACACTGAGATCAAAAATTTTCAACCAATACTGTTTTCTCACTCTGAAGAAAAACAAGGTAGTCAGTAAAATTTACTGAATGAATCTTTAACAAAATGACCTACAGTAATTTTACTAAATAGACAAGTTGAATAATTAAAATCATTCAAAAACTGATTATGAGATACACTTTGTAGTCCAAATATATGCAGCTCAGTAAAACCATTTTCAAAATTATTTGTAATGAATATTTAATTTCACCTTCACAAGAATATCTTACCAGTACAGGCATCCCCATTTTTTTGTAGTTGTTTTTAGGAAAAAAAAAACAAACAACAACAATAACAACAAAAGCAAAAATTTTAATCAGCTAATCAAGCACTTTGCTTGAGAGAAAAATATTTTAACAAAATAACTGAAATTAATTTAACTCAATACTAAGTTTGATTATTTAAATAACTTACATTCTTCACCGGACACATGCAGCTCTGCAGTTTGATTCATTTCTAATGAATTTCTGATATTTTTTGTAAATTTTAGTGTCTCTTTAGAACAATAAAAAAAGAAAAATAAAAAATCATTCAATCATAACCATGAATTATTTAAATTAAATAGCATATTTTAAATTCAGCAAATCAAAAGGAATGATCCCATTGCATTAAACATTTTAAAAAATATAATGACTTAACTTAACATCTTATTTATTTAGAATTAATTCAGCATGATTATACAGTACATTTATTTATTCCTGCTGCATTCTGCATGTTAGAAAGATTTTTGCAATAAATTTAATTAACTTTTGGCATTTTGGATTATTTAATTAACTTTCATAATTTAAAATATTTTTAATGTCTCTGTCACACAAAAAACTTTTTTAGATTTGTATTTAGTGTTTCTATTTAACCAGTAAAAGTCAGCAAAGTTTGATTTAATATATTTTTTTCCCAAAGACAATTCTAATAACTTTTTTTTTTTTTTTTTATATTTTTTTGGGGCTTTTGCCTTTATTTAGAGCAGTAGAGAGAGACAGGAAAGGGGGGAGAAGAATGAGGGAGAGACCTGCAGCAAAGGGTCATGAGCGGGATTAGAACTCACAACCGCTGCGTCGGAGACTGTAGCCCCTGTTCATGGGTCACCCGCTCAACCAGGTGAGCTATACGGGCGCCCCATAACTTTTTTAACTGTAAACTACATTGTATAATTCATCCTACATCCACCCAACCGGTCGAGGCAGATGGCCGTCCCTCCCTGAGCCTGGTTCTGTTGGAGGTTTTTTTTCCCCCTGTGGGGGTTTTCGGTTCCTTCCCACTGTTGTGGACTGCTTGCGGACTGCTGAAGCTTATAGGGAATCCAAATGTTTTGGATTGTTGGGTGTTTCTGTTTCTGCCTTTGTGAAGCGCTATGAGATGACTGTTGTTGTAAATATGCGCTATACAAATAAAATTGAATTGAATTGAATTGAATTGAACATGTACCTCAGTGTCTAACTACTTGTTTAACTATTTTTTTTTCTTTATTTCAATTTATTTAAAAATATTTTTTTAAACCATTGAAAGTCTCATTGAGCTGAAACATCTTTTTCATAAGAGCATCCTGGCCGAGGCAGCTACATACATACTGATTTTAAATAAGGTTTAGACAAAGAATTGAAAGAAACAAAAAACCTGAATGACATAGAAAAATAAACAACAAAAAACAAACAAAAAAAATCAACAAAAAAAAAAAACAGTCCAGTTAATTTTGTTCTTTGCGGTTTTGTTTTTCTTGTTATAAAGTTAAACCTTCTAATCACAGCAGCTTTAAAATAATTTAAAAATAAAGTTAACATAAAATAACAATAAAAATCGAGCGTCTTTCAGTTTTCTTACCTGACATACAGCGACCTTTTCTGACTTGTCCTCAGAGATCCAGAGCCTGAACTGATGCTGCTGTTCATCATTTGCTCCCTCAGATCGTGAATCTTTGCCTCGAACCGACTGTATTCTACAGAAACATTTAACGATTTAACATATATCTATTTATTATTATATTATATATTATAACCTGTAAAAAGTGCAGAATCTGTCTAAAGAAAAACACACAGAAGTTGCGGCTCTGTCCTTTTGTTCCGATGAAACTACCTGGTTGTCTTCTTTTTAAAAATCCTAATGGTTTTTCCCAAATTCTGACTTTTTAAAATTCTGACCCTAAACTTAGACATGACAATTTCTGACTCATTTTTACAGATCAAATGGACTGTTATTACACAAGAGAAACTTTCATAATCAATCAACTGCATCAGTAATTTCGGAACCAAAGTTACAGAACCAAAATATTCTGATTCCAACATTTCATTTCTATTTAGTTTAAGCAGCAGTTTTTAAAGGTCTTTGGCTCAGAAGCTGTTTTGCAGCAGTTTTCAGGTCAATGTGATTGAATCTTTCTGAGTTTGTGTGTATTTTTAAGTTATTTGAGACTTTCGACCTTTAAACACATGTTTTGAGTCTTAATTTTCTAAAACTAGAGAAGCTGCAGGTCTCCTCACCCTCGGGCCTGTAGTGGGCGATGATGGTGACCGTCTGTCCAGCGTTCTTCAGGGCGGCGGCTGCCTGTTCGTGGGTGGCGTTACGGAGGTCAACGCCATTCACCTGAAATAGAAACAGAACGAAGAATCTGTAAGATCAGAACTAACAGAAGCTGCTGCTGTTCTGAGTTGCAGACAGTTAGATTTCTGGTCTGTTAGAGATCGGAGCTCCTCGAATGTTTTACTGTCAGGTGTTCTTTTCCAACATGTTCAATTTTGTCAAGTGTATTAATTTGACTGAACATGTGGGTGATTTTTATCCTTCACAGACATCAAATGTGTGTTTAATTTTCTGAAAGGGTGACGAAGCTTTTGCTGTCAGGACCCCTCGGCTTTGGACCCACGTGCCTGAAGATGACTGATTTACTTATTTATTTACTATTATTATTATTTATAGCCTTGTCGTTTTTGTTTTACACTCTTATTTCTTAGACTTAATTACTTAATTGGATATGGCAGTTTTTGTGATTCTATTGTTTCATCCTGTTATTTACTTTGAAAATCTTTTCCCATGTTTAACTGTATTTTTCCTCTTTTGCCTCTCAGGTCTTTCTCCTTTGGTTCAACCTTTTGCTGTTCAGTGGTCTTGCTGATTTTTCTTCTTTTGATTTTTGTCCTGTTTGTAAAGCACGTTTATATTTTGTTTTTAAAATTGCTATATAGATAAAGTCAATTTTAATATCTAAAATGCTGTAGTAATGTTTTCAGGACAAACTGTTTCTTCAGTTTTCAGAATGTCAATGTTTGGGGATAATGTTATCAGACCAAAGTTTTCCAGAAAAGTTTCTCGCTTTGTTATTACAATCTGTCCTCATATCCTCTGAATATTGACTCTTTGTTGACTTGTAACTCACAGGAACATTACTGGAAATTCCAAAGTTCATTAGAACATTATTTGAACATTAGGATAAAATATTCTGCAGAAGTCCTGGTGTTTGTTTGTGTTTCTGTGTTAATCTATTTGCGTTTGTCTGTTTGTGTTGTACATACAGACACCAGTCGGTCTCCCTTCCTCAGCTCTCCACAGAGGTCAGCTGGTCCTCCAGCGAGGATGAAGGAGATGAAGATGCCCTCTCCGTCCTCGCCGCCCACGATGTTGAAGCCCAGTCCAGTTGCTCCTCTGTGCAGCACCACCTTCCGGGGCTCCCTGTTGGACCACAGCAGCTGTCAGTCATTGTGAAGTCATGTGACCTCACCTAAGAGTCATGTGACCTCACACAGAGGAAGTAAACTGCCACAGTGGCTGCATTTAAACTTTGTCATTTACATAAGAACTAAAAACCTCAAATCAGAAAAGTCCAAACAACTCTGAAGACAAGATAAAATAAGACTTTTTTTTAATCCCATGCAAGTAAATTGACAATGTTACAGTACCAAAGGGAATAGTGCAAAAACGTTGAAAACATCAGTTGAAAAAATAAACAATAAACATAAACAAGTACTGTTGATATTGTGCAGATTCTTTGTTATGTAGAAATCCTAAATTATTGCAGATTCTCTAAATGTGGAAAACAATTGTAGTGCACAGGGTTATAGTTCACAGTGTACAAAGAGTACAAAGAGGAGAAAATACTGATACTGTGCAAATGATGATGATGCCCCTCAACAACAACACAATTAGGGCACTGTGACAACTGCTGCAGTATAAAGACTAAAATTTCACTTTGTCTTGTTTCATACTGCAGAAAAAAAAAACTTAAACTAAGTTTTTACTACTATTATTGCCATTGTTGAGCTTTGTTTTGTTTTTGTTTTAATGATTAATCGATTTGTTATTTCAGCTGCAAGGTGGCTCGGTGGTTAGCACTGTTGCCTCGCAGTTAGGTTGCCGGTTCACGTACCGGTGAGGACACCCGGGATCTTTCTGTGTGGGGTTTGCATGTTCTCCCCGTGTGGCGTGGGTTCTCTAGCTTTCTCCCACAGTCCAAAAACATGTTGAGGTTAATTGGTGATTCTAAATTGTCCATAGGTGTGAATGTAAGTATGCTTGGTTGTCTGTCTCTAAGTGTAGTCCTGTGATAGACTGGTGACCTGTCCAGGGTGTCCACTGCCTTCACCCTAAGTCAGCTGGGATAGACTCCAGCCACCCACGATCCTGGTGAGGATTAAGCGGTGTATAGATAATGGATGGATGGATTTGTTATTTGGTCTATGAAATTTCTGAAAATGTCGATCAGTTTTTCCCAAAAAACAAAGATGACAAATGCGCTGTTTTGTCCAAAACCAAAAGACGAAAGCAGAAAACATTCACATTTAAGAAGCTGGAATCAGAGAATTTAGGAATAAAGTTAAACAAACTGACTATAAAGCAGTTGGTGATTGATTTAATAGTTGACAACTGATCAATTAATTGTTGCAGCAGCAGTTTTCACAGCTGGAGACAGACTTGAAGCAGGCTTGATGAAGCTTGTAACTGCAGGTTTAAACCAGCAGGGGGCAGAACAGCTGTGAATTTAATTTCTTCCAGCTTCTTTCTCACTAGTTTATTTAACTCTCTAAACTAAAGCAGTTTTTGGGTGTTTTATTTTTGTTTCTGTCACCTTTTTTGTCACTGTGGCTCCTTTTTACTACAATATAAAGTCCTGCACCTCTATGGAAACAGAACAACCATGAAGAAGGAGAAAGAACTCACAAATGTATTTTATGCAGTATCACACAGTCAGAATGACAGAAATCATTTAAAAAAAAAAAATAAAAATAAGGAAAGTTTCTTCTAAATATGTATTTTCACAAAAAATGCAAAAGCCTGGAATAAACATGTAAAAAATTTGTTTAATGGTCCAAATAACTGGAACATGTTATTTATACTGGATTTCCATGTTTCCAGCCTCTACAAACCTTAACACTCTACTCAGCAAATAAAGTGTAGAAAGATGTTTTACCACGTTGAACGTATCTTCAACAACTTGCGCCTCTCTTCACTGTTTCTGAGCCATGCTGCCTTTATTTTACTTATCCAGTATCTTTTATTTTCCTTTCTGTTCTGTGGAAACACTGCCTGCAGTTCATCTGAATTTTGCTACACAACTTAGCTGAGATGGAGAATCCGTTGTGCCAAGAAACTCCAAATTTTTAGTTTTACTTTGTACAGAATCTGCTGCAAACTGTTTATTTTTGGTGACTTTTTAAATGAGGCACAATTTTAAACTTCAATTTTGTTATTTAATATATTTAGGAACCATCAGAAAAGTTGAAAATCTGATGACTGATTCTGTTTTCACAGTTTCTGACTGACAAATTGTGTCATTTTGGCAATTTTTGTCAAGCTAACAAGCCTTTTAAACCTCCTAAAGGTTTGTAGGGTTGAGAGCAATAAAATGAATTTTGGGGGTTTTATTTTTGGAGCAAGTTGGTTTGAATTTTTCAACATCATCCTGCATGAATTTTTCAGCATCATCCTGCATGAACAGGATTCCTTTAAGGACAGTCGGAAAGTTAAAAATCTGATGATCGATTCTGCTTTCAGTCCGTAGGTGTGAATGTGAGTGTGCTTGGTTGTCTGTCTCTAAGTGTAGCCCTGTGATAGACTGGTGACCTGTCCAGGGTGTCCCCTGCCTTTGCCCTAAGTCAGCTGGGATAGGCTGGATGTATTCTGTTTTCACTCTTTCTGGCTGACAAATTAGCAATTGTTGTTGTGATTTCTTAAAGCAAACATGCTTTTCAAACAGGTTTTGGGGTTCCGAGGGTTAAACAATAAGCAGATATCTGTAACAGTGGTGTTTCTGTGCTCACCGGGTGACGTCGTCATCTCCCAGCATGCTCTTCGGTGTCGGGGAGTAGCGTCCCGAGGATGCCGGCGGAGGGAGAGGCTGACCCAGGAAGTTGGGGGGGCTGATATGGTTCTCCAGGTGCTGCGAATATGCTGAAAAACAAACACATAGAACATGTGAGATGAATCCAGCCGTAAAACAACAACATATGAACAGCCTCCTCACAGCAGCAGCGACTGGTCGACTTCTAAAGTTTCTCTCCACATGATGCTTTGCCTGCTCACTTGTCCGGCTCCTGTTACCGTCTGATTGGACAAAGCCGAGGGGGTCGAAACCACAACTGGCTCAAACTGTTTATTGGATACATGAGGACACCTGGACAAGTTGCTGCCACTTTTATGGAGAGCTTCTTCACAAAAATGTCTTGTTTCAGGGATCAGAAGTCTTTTTTTAAGCAGTAGTGTGAGTTTACAGTAAACATATTCTACTGATGCAAACTGAATAAAATAAGAAAACACCAAGGAGGGTCTGCTGCTGCTGCAACCCAATTAACAAGCTCAGCTGTAACTAATGATAAAAATCACATATGTATCTTTTAATCTCTAGATCAGGCATTTGATTGATTGCTTGGTGGATAAAATGTCAGAAGAATCTTAAAACACGTTTCTTGCCCGACCAACTGTTCAAAAACCCAGGGGGGTTGAAAAATGTATTAGCCTTCAAATATTTTAAATATTTCAGCTCTATAAACAAAAAATTCTACAATGATAAAACCATCTCTACATTGTTTAACTAAAATCCTATTATTAATACTAAGATATAACAAATAGGCTCAAAAGTCGTCTGAGTAAATCTAATAGATAAAAGAACAGTAATGTAAGTTTTTGGATCATTTAGTGACTTTAATACAAATTATAAATATATCAGTCCAGTCCAGGTGCTTGTTTTGCTACAACAAAGTGATTTTGATACAACAAAGTGCAAACAGCACTGCAAAACCTACGATGGCCTCAGAGTATTCAAGCTCACACAGGTGATTTGCTAAGGTGGGAAATGAATCCCGGAGTGATAATGATAAACTGATTATTTATCAATTAAAGCAATTTATTGAGCAAAAAATGCCCCCAAAAATGACATACTTGGGAGTTCTGTGAAGTGACTTGAGGATTTTTTTCACGTTACAGCATTCTTCCAAAAACTTGCACAACATCTTTAACATTTACTTTGTTCTACAATTTCACATCTATTACAAACTGAAATGTCGATGACAGTCAAAGTCTGTACCAACTCAGTTTACTGAGATTACATAATTAATCTAATCTAGATTTTGACTATCAGGAACCAAAGCTTAGTAGGATCCACAGAGTCACAGCTCATCAGCTGCAGGTAAATTTACATTTATTCTTCTTCTTCATAGTCCATTATTATGAATTATACTTGACTGGATGATCTGCACGACAGATCATTGTATTGTATCTCAGATCACTGTGGTGTCTGAATGAAGCCGTAGTGAAAATTAAAGTGACCAACAGATTTATGAAGCAGCATTGTTTCTTATCTTGTCTAAAAAAGGCTTAACTAACAAAAAATTAAGAATGTGAGAAAACACTTTAGTTCATAATGAGAAAAATCTAGTTTTTTTTGTTTAGTGCATTTAATTATCTGATTAATATCTGCCATTAATTCGGATTTATCCTGAAAATAAAAAACAGTCAAATCACTGATGTACATATCAGATTTAGGGTATTAGGTACTGTAGTGTTTATGTTATATATCACGTAAAGCAAAATAGGTGTCTGCTTTGTAATTTTTAAGAAAACAAAAGAAATGTTTCTACTGTCGGCAGCTAGCTGGAAAGAAAACAACACACAGAGGCAGGATTTAAAGCTCCTGAAATATGAAAATCCAGTTTCATAGACATAGTCAGAGGTTTGACTGACAGAAAAGTGCTTGATGACAAACAGTAGTGGAAGCTAAATCTGATTCTGTTCACTTTATCTGATCCAATCTGTCCAATTGGAGCATATGATAACCGGTGCGGGGAATGATGGGATGGCGCCGTCATCACCACAGTTATTTCCTTGCCGCAATGGAGGCTGAGCGCACTTAACAGAATTATTTCCCATTCGTTACCTCTGGCTGGGATCTTTGCCGTCATTATAAATATTGCAGCCCCCTCCCTTGCTGTGCTGCAGTACTGCTGTGGATGAAGCTTGTGATGCAGCTCGACACTCGCTGATTGGATTTGCTGCTCGTCCTTCACGCGTCTCAGCATCAGCAGAAGAGGACGATGATAACGTGGAGGTTAAACAGGGAGGAGGAAGAGTCGAGGTCTTTAGAAAAAAGGGATCTGAGGTCACTCTGAGACCAGAGTTTGATTTTGTGATAGAAACAGCTCCTAGACGTTAAATCTGCACTCAATTTACATTTACAGCGTTCAGGCTTTTAAATGCACACCACAGGTTCTTTTATCTCAGGTTTGCTTTCTAGTGCAGGAGCTTGCAGACGTAGCACAAACCTGTCCTGACCAGAACAACTGCCTATGTAGAACGTCTTTCGGAGGACAATGCATCAAGTCTGGAATAGGTACTTCTGAGAGGCCCTCAAAAACTGTTGTCCAGGTCTTGTCTGGCACCATATTTTCTCTCCTCTCAATGTCCAGGAGTAGTTTTCTCCTATCTAACACTGTCATCAACAACATAAAGTTAAGCACATAGACTAATCAGGTTCCTTGACATTAGGTCTTGGAAATTACTTCCTGGGACTTTGTTTTTTGTGCATAAGCACCTCACACACGAGAATGCTGTTTCACATTAAAGCAGGGGGACCTTTTTTGAGAGTGTGCATGCTAAAATTTCAAGGAGTTGCATTTGTGAATGATGATCAGTTAGCTGTTTTTCTGTTGCTTTAACCAGCACAGGAAGCTACTGCATTAAGTGGTGGAAAGTATAACTTTAATTTCCTCCGTTGCTCTGTCAGTCTGTTCCTGGATGTGCAAAGCGAGCTTACAGACAGGATGTGCATTTTCTTCAACCAACAGAGAGTTACAGGTCTGACTCAAATAATTATTAATCACAATCATCCTTTTAGCTTTAGCTTCTAACCACTATATGAAAACGATTGACTGCGGCCTTTACATTTTAAAACGCGGCTCACTTATAAAAGGCGTAGCACTGTTTACTCCTCTCATAGAAAACAGCACATGTGGATAAAATCACACAATTCTTTCAGTCTTCTCAATCTAATTTTTGCTCACACAACTTTCTGAGCACACTGCTGCCACCTAGCAGCATCTACTGCAGCCTGCAATGTGAGGAATTTAGGGAACATTGGTAAGTGTGGTGTCTATCGATAAGCAGCTGTGCGGCGTTTTTACTGTGACCAGATAGGAGGTACGACTAGCTGACAATGTTGGTTGCTCCAGTGTGACTAGTGAAAAACTAGAGCCCTGGTGGACCTTTCCAGGGGTAAAAGTTCATCCACTATTTTTAGATGTGTTTCCAGAACAGGGCCAAAAGCTGGTCAAGATTTAGCAAATTAGTCCACTGACGAATTTAAAGCACAACAGTTCAAGATTCCCTCAGAATGCTGTCCTCTGAAGAAATTATCAACTTGCTTCTGTCTATCAGTCATTTCAACTCCCTGACAAACAACCTGTTTGGAGTGGAACTTCATATAGATTCTGTTTTTGTGTGATCAACGACATCTTAATCATTCCAAACCTTTAAGAACAAAGAAGTGCAAGGTCACAATATGAAAGTAAATTACCAAAGACTTTCAGTCAGACTTCAGTTGGTAAAATCCTTTTAGCTCCTGTTAGACATGATAAACTCAACACAACTTCTCCTGCAGACTCATTTTACTGCTGAAGCCCCAAATCTATGGTTTTTGTTCAGCTTTGTTCAACATTCGGCAGACAGGCTTTAAACCAACACCAGTCTGCTTGTGTTTCTTCTGTTTAAGTCTCTTTGCAGCTGCTCTTGGTTGGTTTTAGGCTTTACTGCAGCAAAATCCAACGATTTCTGTCTGCTGCAGATCCATGTGTCAAAAAAGCCATATACTGATTAAACGCACTGGAGGCACGTAAACACACATCTTATCAGATCACATTATTTAGCGTCCATGTAAACATTTAAGGTGGAAACTTTAATAGGAATGCTTTCAGTTAAAACCAACACTTTTCATTAGTTTCTAAAGGCATGCTGCAGTTTAAAACTCCGTATCAGGATGTACTCTCAGCGAGTCAGTGTCATATTCAGGTTCAGGTTCAGGTTCCTCCGTCCTCAGATCATCTCAGGTCTGATTGATACATCCACTGATTGATCACTTCCATCCTCTTCTCCTGGTTCCTCCTGCACTCATCCGTCCAGGATCAGTTTGTCCTTCGGCGTCTCCACATTAAGGCTCATCGAGGGAGTCGTTGGGAACAGATCCAGATTTCGTGCTATGAATGTGTTTGAAAGCCTCGTCTCGACTTTGAGACGTGTTGTTTGATAAATGCCATTGGGACTGCCATCATTACCGCAAAAGACAGACTGCAGTGTTTGCTGGATTCAGAACTGACTTAGGGTCAAACGCAGAAAGTCAATCAGGTCACACGTGAACCAGGAGCTGCTAATCTAGTTTGTGTTATGTTCGAAGATATTCAGAATACATGGTGCGATCGTGGAGTACATCACTGTCACACTTGTGCAACATAAGAGAGCAGTACCTGTTATGAATGAGGCGACCACATGATGTTGCGTTATCAACATCAGGACCTGAGTTACAGATGTTTATGTGATCATTTTTAGTTGTACATTAGTGATTTCTCCATGGAGCTCAAACTGCAGCAGAGAAAAAACATTCAACCTTCATGTGGATGATCATCAGCGGTGACCAGAGGAGGATCTGTAGCTACCACCAGGGGGAGAAACAGCAATTTATACTTGGGATTGTTGGGGCAAATCAAGGCAATTTTTAAACATATCAGTATCAGTGTGACTCTAAGCTTGATCCTTTGTCCACAGCTGCCCTCATAGCTATCCTAAATTTAAAGAATCTTCTTGATAAAAACAGCATTATTGACTCATCTATGACACAAATTAAGCATACTAGACATACGTCCTGTGCTGATATTGCTGATTTAATTCACAGACACACAACATGGGCTGAAACACGATCCTTGTTGATCGCAGTTTAATTTTAGGGATTGACACTATTATCAGCCTGGCAGATTATTGAGGTTGATGTTTGGCACTGCTCCGAATTTGGTGTTGTCACCATAGTCTGTCACGTGTAACAACCAATCACTGAAAGCTAATGTTTACGCAGAAGGACAGACGAGAGCACTTGTAGAGGAGAACAGCTCTGTGGAATTAGGTGATCTGTGTCTGGAAAGTGAGTTTGCAGATACTGCTAAAGTTGTTATAAAAACCACACTCTTCCACAAACATGCTTAGTTTCCTTGTCACACAGAAAACACCCCAATGATTCACTTGGTGTTAACAAGTGGTGCAGCTGGAACTTACTTTGATGATGGTGCTAGGCAAAGACTATCATTAAGACGTTTACTGTGCCTCTTAGCCTGCTATCTGAAGTACTTTTCTAAAGCAAGACTAACAATAACATTTTTCTAACTGACAGACACGTATCTCTAGCAGAGACACAACCTGCACAAACTGAATAAGAAGCACAGCCACAAATCAGGACATTAACTGCTGTCACCGTAACCATGGCTATGCTAACGGCTAGCAGCTAAGTTAGGAGGCAGCCACAGATTACCATAAAACAGTGCCTGAAAATGGTAATTAAGAATGTTTTAAGAGCTGGGCCTTAGTGGTCAATATAAGGGATACACTAGGAAATATTAACAAAATGGAGAAGAAGAACAGCAGACAGAACTGCAGGAGACAAATTGTTATTGATTCCAATCGTTCTCACAGTAAACGGAGGAGAGCATTGTAGTTTCATGTGACGTTCTGACAGAATTAAATAGTTTAGTTATGAATAACAGGTTCCCTGCTGTCACGTGCTATTAACATATAACAACAAACGTATATCAGTTCCAAATATCTCTCAGTGGCCCTTTTTGATCACCAATAATTGATTTTGGCCCCTGGAAAACCACATTGTTTCACAAGAACGAAGGGCAAAACCACAAGACTCTGGTTCCGGTTCTCGTTGTGTTACTGTTTGTGCAGAAGAAGAAACTCACAGTTGGTGAGGTCGGGCGGGGCAAAGCTGTCGTTCATGAAGACACTGTTGGGTTTTGCCACTTTCAAGTAGACCACGTCAGGAGTATTTTTCAAGGCAGTGACGGCGTGTTCGTGACTCACCTCCTCCAGGCAAGCGCTGTTCACCTGAACACAGGAGAGACGACCCATCACGTCAACATGTACCAGCTCAGAGCAAAAACTCTTCATTCAATCAACCTGACTGTACTCAGGATACACAGCATGCACAAAACATCACCAAAAACCACTAACATCTGAGGTGGCAGGGAAACATGCTACATATCTGCCTCACATCTGACCATCAGTCATCATTTACTGATATCCAAGGACAGCTAGTGATATAAAACTGTTTTACTTGATATGTAAATCAAGATGTTTTGAATTTGACAGGGGTGTAGAGTTCATTTGAACACTGGTGAGGTATTTGTTTATGTGAAGGAAAGTTCATACGGCAGGTAACACCTGAAAACATACTGGAATATAATGCAGTGAATCACCCAGGTATTCTGTGCTGCATTCAAATATGTATTCTCCTGTAGATCAACTTTTACCACTTTCAAAAAAGAATTATCCACACTGACTCCACCTCTTTTCATCTGACCAAGTTTAAAAATTTGATTCAGGTCAAACTAAAAAGAAAAAGCTCACACACACACGCACAGGCACATAGAGATTCACATAGAGATAGAAAGTCAGGTTCATGCGGATACCGGCCCGTTAAAATTTGCCTGAATTGGCCCCGATCAGGATCAGGACACCCCAGATTTAAAACAGTTAAATTGTGAGGCTTTTGAAAAGAGTTTTTGATTAAGATTGGGCTGATGAGCTACAGAATTTTCACCCAGCCCTGTAAGTGTTACAGCTTTAAATATCTGTTCTTCTTGATGAATATTAAAAACTTTTAAGTCGTGCTTTAGGAAAAAAAACCTTTAGTGGATAATTATATTTGAAATCAAAAGCTGTTTGAGGACAAAGCTATTTGTTTTGTTTTTAGTCTCTGGAGATCCGTCTGAACGAAACTGAACACGTTGAATAAAAGCTGCTATGTGAGGAGAACTTACAGCCAGCAGTTTGTCTCCGATCTGAAGTCTCCCGTCTTTATGTGCAGCTCCGCCTTCAATGATCTTGGTGACGTAGATGCTGTTGTCGCCCGGGATGTGCTGGTTCCCGACTCCGCCTGCTATACTGAAGCCAAGACCTGCAACACACCAGGACCAGAGTGAAGAGGATCAAACTGCTGTCAGAACAGAGACGTCTACAAAACTGGTGGCAGAAAAAAGTGACAAAAGTATGGCAAAATATGGGCTACAAATTCCAAACAGAAACTCAAAAGCTACAAAACTCTGACTCTGGTATCCAGCTATTATATCTATCTATCCAACATGCTCTTCACAGGAACAAACAGCAGGACTTTAAACTGGCGTTTTTAAAAAGAAACCACCCATACATGCTGCTGCCAATTTAACACTGTGCCGTAAAGCACAGGTAGGGATGTTTCTGTGGAAACCGAGGCTTTATTCCTGATCCGGCCTCCTTGTCTGAATAATCATGAGGCCCGGAGGGATTTCACTAAAGCTCCTTTGAAAGTAGAGACAATCCAGCAACGAGGCAGACACACTTTCATGTCACCTTCACCGACGAGCTGAAACACCAGGACGACTCACAGGTGAAGAGTGAATTAACTCCTAGCAGCAGCACGAGTGAACATCTGGATCTATTAGATGGTGGACGAACGTGTTGGTTCTGTTAAAACACTTGAGCCACTTTGATAAGAAAATGCTTTTATGTTACAAAGAGTCATATTAACCCTTTTGATCCCCAACACCTAAACAGGGTGGGTGTGGTAGTGTGTGTGTGTGCGTGTGTGTATACATATTTTAGAAAGTGTCCTTAAAGTTAATGGTTTTTAGCCGATTCTGTAAAAAGGTAAAAATTCTATGCTCCTCAACAGAAATGTAATGCCGTGACTGACTCAGCTGTGACCAACAGTTACTGCACAACAATTCAGGGAACACTGAACTGCAGGCAGTGTTTCTTCAGAGCAAAAAAGAGATGAGTAGGCAAACAAATTAAAAATATAAATATTAAATTATCTACAGCATCTAAGGCCTCCATCTCCCCCCAGTATTGATAACAACTTTGAAAAATGTTGGATATGCTGATTAAAAGTCTCATTATTTGTAAAAAATACATTAAACAAACTTAAGTGTTTTTTATTCTTTTAAAAAAAAATAAAAAATTATATAATTCTAAATGTGTTATACTGCGATGAGGACATTTCTGAGTTTTCTCTATTCTTCATGGTTGTTTTATTTCCACAGAGGTGCAGGACTTTATATTGCAGTGGAAAATGAGCTCACAGCAAAAAAAAATGCAAAAGGAGCAAAAAAACCCCAAACTGCTCAGAGTTCAGAGGGTTAAACTGCTGTTAAACGGCTGCTCTCTGTTTCCTGACGTAAAGACTAAGTTTTGTGGCGACTATAAAACTCAGTTTACAGCAAGTCACGTTTAATGTTAAATTATTTAACAGAGAACATTTAAACATCAAAAAGCTTTTCAGGTTAAATATTGGTGTTAAGAGCTTATAGTGTTGTTTATGTGGTGACATTATCTGAAAAATTTACATATTTGTGTTTACAACTACAAAATATAGTAAATATAACTTTATCTGATGTAATGCATAATAAGGCAGAAATCCTGCAATGTTTGCAATTATAAAGCTTAAATTACTAATTTAAATACAAGGCTAAGTATCGACAGCAACATTAACAGTTATGAAGATTAACCTTAGAAATGACTAAATGTTACTGTAGTGCGCATTCTGTTAAAAATTTAGTTTCTGTATCATTTTCCACTTCCCGTTAAAGACTTGCTGCGAATGTTTCATGAACTGATCTTGCGGTAAGTTTGGCTTCTGTTCCTGCCAACTGGATATTGAAGCAGCATTCTCTCAGCTCAGTTCTACCTTTGGGTCCTTTCACCAGTTTGATTTCCATCACTTTCTCAGACACGGGTTTCCTCCGGCGGACATACAGTCGCACCAGGGATCCAGCCTCCTTCAGCGCCTCCACGGCCCGACTGTGGGTCACGTCCCGAACGTCCACCTCGTTCACCCGCAGGATGACGTCGTTCACCCTAAAACCAGAACCAGAACCAGTTGGTCAGTGGGCTGTCCTGCAGACAAACTATAGTCAAATGGAACCTCCTCCGGACAGAAAATCACATTAAAATAATATCTATACAATCCAAATGTGCTTTAGTAGTTTCACTTTTCTGTCAGTGTCAGCAGGGAAAAGGAGAAATAATCATGACTGTTGTTTTTTAAATGTAGGTTTATTGGTCACAGTTATACATGGTATAACGCGCAGTGAAATACGTTGTGCTCCTGTTCCACACCTAAACAATAACAATAAGATAAATAGGAATAAGGAAAAAAACACACAAGAAATTAAAAAATATATATGAATACACACGTATATACACTACCGTTCAAAAGTTTGGGGTCACTCAAACAATTTTGTGTTTTCCATGAAAAGTCACACTTATTCACCACCATACGTTGTGAAATGAATAGAAAATAGAGTCAAGACATTGACAAGGTTAGAAATAATGATTTGTATTTGAAATAAAAAATTTTTTTACATCAAACTTTGCTTTCGTCAAAGAATCCTCCATTTGCAGCAATTACAGCATTGCAGACCTTTGGCATTCTAGCTGTTAATTTGTTGAGGTAATCTGGAGAAATTGCACCCCACGCTTCTAGAAGCAGCTCCCACAAGTTGGATTGGTTGGATGGGCACTTCTTGC